ATAAAAATAGCAATGGGATGTACAGGACAGTATGTTGAAAATGAAATTTGCAACTTGGGGGAGGGAGGAGTTAGCAAGGTGGGGAGGGAAGGGATAGTAGAGGAAAAACAAAAGAGAGGGTAGCAATGCTCGATAGGAAATATACTCATTACCTTACTCATGTAACTGTAACCCCTCTGTACAGTATCTTTACAACAAAAATATATATTTAATAATTAAAATATATATATACTTTAGAAAAGGAATGCTATAGGTGCTTGAGTATGCTGCTTTAAATTGTGAAACCCTTGTGAACTTTTCTCTTCATTTATTTATTTAACCTTGTAACCTGAGGACAGTGCAGAATGTACTGAGAAAAATGTGAATTAAATGTACATTATGATTTTATTTTATTTTTTCACAAAATACATAGAATAAAAAACCAAAATATACTATATGTATGCGTGCAAATATCACAGTAAAATTCACTCAAAATATAAATGTATGTTAATGCAAAATTACTTTCTTTAAGAGCCCAAATGCTCACAGAAATTTTCAATAGAGCTAAGTCTCCAGCCTGATTTATGGAAAATTTTTTCTTGCCACATTAAAAAAAAATGATTCTAGGCCAATCAACATCAACCAGAACATATTAGCACCTAATTATTTCTCACTGTCCTTATGAAAATAATAGCAGTATCTGCTTATGTGCACACTATCTAATGAATGCTACCGTGCGATTACAGACAATGTTTCTGAGGCAAGTATATGTATAAAATAATGGCTAAATTCTTCAGAAACAAATACTATCATCATAGACACACTATAGTGACACAGAGTGGCCCATCTAATGTCATCTACCTGAGTGTTGGAACTGTCACATCAATTGTAGGAGGAATCATTGTGTTAGTACTTGCACTGGGTAAAATTACCTATAAAATAGTTACCAAACATGTAATGGTGAAAAATTTACCCCATACAATGTCACATACCTCTAAACAGGCAGGACTAGCTATAAAAAATACACAATAATCCCTGTTCTTTCTTATCCACATGGTACTAACAAGTAAACTTCATCCTCCAACAATAGTTACATAAACACTCTTTACAGGCCCACCTGAGCTCTATATTATAAAAACAAATACAACCTTCCCTGCAGTCAACCACTGATAAGACTGCTCATACTCTTCATGCTTGAGCCTTGTTTGTCCAAATGACTCACCAAGTTAGTTCTCTCTTGCTAGATCAATTCAAACCACAGATAATCATGGATATAAAAACCGACCACCAAGGACTTGAGAAACAGCATCACTCGGTTCCCCTGAATCTTCCCCGGCAACTGTCATCTCACCTTTCAGCTCGGAAGTAGCCAGAACAGAGCTGGACATCCTCATGTCCGGACAGGAGTCAGGGAAAACTCAGGGTGGTGATGAAGGTAAACACTAGCCAACCAGTTCAGGCCAACTTGCTCCCCTAACAAGTGATCACCACACACATCAAGGTCTTGGGTTCTGCCGTAAAACAGGCCAGCCCTCCTAGAAGCTGCTATCTTGTGGCTACCATCCAGGGGAGGGTTTTGCTTATTTCAAAACAACCATCTAACAAACTGCCAAAAGAGTGGAGGAAAAATATAGGGAGGGACAGTATAAAACAGCCAGTCCCTGACCACCAGGTAGACTGCTCACTCTCCTGAATGACCTTTACTATCTCCTCACTAAATGAACTCTTTATAGCTGTGCTCATTGTTCCTGGTTTTCCTCCTCCTCCTCCTCCCCCTCCTCCTCCCCCTCTCCCTCCCCCTCCCCCTCCTGCTCCCCCTCCTCCTCCTCCTCCTCCTCCTCTTCCTTCTTCTTGTCAATCACAGGGCTTGAATTGTGGGCCTGGGCGCTGTCCCTCAACTCTTCAGCTCAAAGGGAGAGCCTTACCATTTGAGCCACAGCACCACTTCTGGTTTTCTGGTGGTTCATTAGAGATAAGAGTCTCAGGACTTTCCTGCCCAGGCTGGCTTTGAACCACAATACTCAGATCTCAGCCTCCTGAGTAGCTAGGATTGCAGGTATGAACTGCCAGCATCAGACTCCTGGTTTTATTTCTATACTGCCAGAGAACAAGAACCTACCACTAACATTTGATCCTCAATACTCTGTCTCACAAGCTCATGACTTTCACCACCAAATAGAATGCAAGTGTCAAAAATTTGTGAGCACTTGTTCCCAACCAAAGACTCTGGAGTCAAGCTACCATTCATGTCTCAGAGTGGGGAGAATCCAGAGTGGGAAAGAGGATCTAGTTATCTAGGCCACTTTTGGAACTCTGGGTTAGTCTCCTTTTCTCCACCTCAGTTTCCTGTTTTAAGTTGCTAGATTCCTTTGTTAGAACTCTTCTGGATTGAGACATGCGATCAGTGCAACTGCCATATGGTTTTTCCTTCTAGATTTTAGTGCAGCTTGTCACCTGATGTGTGCCAAGGGAAAAAATTCACCTTGTTTGCATCCTGAAGGACAATCCTTGCTGACTTTTGAAGCATCGATGTGGTCAGGACAGCTCACTCCTAGAAGTCTGTAAAACAATGGCAGAATCCCTACTTTGCAGATGAAAAAGGAGAAACTCGGGATAGCTGAGTAATTCTCCCAAGTCACACTGTCAAGTTAGGGTAGAATCAGCATTGAAACACCACTTAGCTAACCCCAGACTCTGACCATGGCGTTACAGCCAGCTGCCTCAGAAATATCACTGTCATTAGCAAACTACAACTTGTTTCTCTTGTTTCTATGTGACTCATTCATTTCCAATAAGGAGAGCTTTATTTATTTTCTTTCCTTTGGCAAGAAGAGAATTTCATTCATTCATCCATCATCACTACCTGTATCCATCCAAATGCTCACTAGTACTTAGAAACTAGAAATAATCAAGATATTTATAAAGATGCCACAAAGTACACCATTGACCGTCAGAGGCTGTATAGTTGCCTGGGTAACAACAATCTCCTACACAGAAGGAAGCATCTTGGAGAGTGAGACATGACTCAGAAATATGGGAATTAGTCTTTAACCAGGAACTGTCCAAGTAAATAATGCCTACTCCTCTCCCATTTGGGCTTTCCAAAGTCCATCTCTACCCTTCAACTGTTCTTGAATCATTAATGCTAAATTGTAGATCCTCCAATGTTGTCATTTTCTGAGAACCTAATGGTTCTCAGGAATTTGCCCACTAATTATCAGTAGAAATCTAGACTAACTTTCTGGGTGACAGAGAAGGTTCCAGATGAAGACAATACCAACTCTCTTGAGTCACCTGAGATTTTGCTTCATTCCTCACCTCCCTTATTGCTGGCTCTAGGCATTGCTTGTGTCCAAATGGTATTTCTTCTTTCACATCCAATCTCTGTCTCTTCCTGAATGACATTCTCAAGCTAGAGTAACAAAGATTTGGAACTTACATTCTAACCTTTCAAGACACACGGCTCCCATGTTCTTGCCTCATATCGAAGCCCTCATGATGTCTTCTCTTGTGATCCAGCTTTTCAATAGCTCCTTCCTTTCTGCTCTAGTGTCCAGAATGCCTACTGCCAGGGGCCAGAGTTAGCTCATAGGAAGGACCTTAATAGGTCCTTCATCATCATCATCATCATCATCTCCCCTCATTATAATCTCCCCTTCTTTACCTTGTTATTATTAACAGCCATCCCTTCTCAGGAGGTCCCTGTTTCAGTGTAGTGGGCAGTGTTAGATGAAGCAAAATGTCAGTGTCTCCTCACTAATCCTGCAGCCCCTTCTGAACTGCAGTGAAATAGTCCCTGTCTCTCTTCTCTGGCTCAGAAAGATTCCCTCAAAGAGCTACAAACTGTTCTCCAACAGCTCTCTGACCCAAATCCTCTCCTCCAACACAGTAATCTCATTTCAAAAGCTGTGTTCTAGCCATGAGCTGATGGCTCACGCCTATACTCCCAACTACTCAGGAGATTGAGAGGTGAGGATCACAGTTCAAAGCCAGCCCAGGCAGGAAAGTCTGTGAGACACTTATTTCTAATTAACCACAAGAAAACTGGAACTGGCACTATGGCTCAAGTGGCAGAGCATTTGCCTTGAGCTAAAGAGTTGAGGGACAGAGCCCAGGCCCAGAGCTCAAGCCCCACAACCGGAAAAAAAAAATTGTGTCCTACATAATGACACCATTCCTGTCAGAAATATATAAATGACATTATCCTTCCTCATCATAATTTTGTCAGCTTCCAGAAAGAGCCACTGAGCATTCACAGGACAAAGCAAGCATTCACCTTCTTCTCCAGTTGAGGTTGGTACAGCCATGCCACTTCCCACAGGACCTCAGCCTGCCGTGTTCGTAAGCATTCTTGTCATTCTGTTCCTCAGCCTGAGAGCAACGCATTTCAGAAATCTGTGCCCTTTCCTGGTCCCTAGTCCTACCAATCTCAGGAAGTGGTATCTTGTTTTGTTTGCCTCCACCCAAATCTGATTTAAATTACCCCCTACTGAACACTTACAATACTCCTTTTATTCCCATACTTTTACTAGCATCATAGGTGTAAGGAGATTTCATCCTGCCCTGATACGCACACGTATGCGCACACTGGATGCTGATTCAAGTCAACCTCCTGTCATTGCTCTGTATCCATCATCTTCCCTTCTCAAATCAACCCAACAAATGTATCTTCACAAATGTGCATAAACATTTCATTATATTCACCCTCCTTCATCTTCTCCATTCCCCCATCCTACTCCTACTAATACCTGTATCCCAGGTAGAACCTGATCTACATTCCTTTCATTCGTTGTTTTATTTATTTACTTATTTTGAATAAAAAAAGACTTTATTGTTAGGGGCAAGAGGATGCAAACAATTTAATTAACTTTCTTTTCTCTGCTTGTCAAATGGGAGTTGGATGCTATTTGCACTTTTCCTAAGGGTCCTCATCTGTCATAATATCGCTTGTGGGTGGATCTCTTAAATGACCCTTCAGGAGAATTCTTATGCAGTGGGCAGAAATAATTGCTGGATTCTATCTACTTCCTTCTCTTCTGCTTCATGTGTACTACGAAACAGTCATGGCATGCAATAGTGAGGCCTGCCATTAGTGAAAAGAAGCTCTGGAAGCCCACTTTGTCATCTTGGCACTGATCCAGGTCCTTCATTATTTTGTCCACAGCCAGAGGATCTAAAAATCCAGGGCATTCCTTATCCATGAGTACTCTCCGGCCTTCCTTTACTAAGTAGCCTTTATCCCCTGCATATTTGTGAAATGTAAACATGATGGTTTCCATGGCATGTTCCATTTGAGATGGCATTCGAGGTCTGTTGAAATCTTATCCCCGGGGTGGGAGGGTGGGGGCCTCAGCAGAGGCTGGGCGAGCTGGGGCGCAGGAGGTGAGGGGAGCTTTGGGGCTGGGCGCCTTTGTACATGGGTCGGGTCTTGTTTTACTTTTTTTAATTAGATGCTCATGTTACTTTCAATTCCTTTAGGATTCCTAAGATTTTTTTTTCACTTTATCTCTTCAGTCCTCTTATCTAATGCTCACTGGTGAGCTTTGACGAAGAATGTCGCTACCGCCTCAACCAGCAAGGAAGACGCGACACCGAACTCTTCTCTCTGCAGTTTATTCAGGACCTTTGAGCAATCTTCTGACCCCAACCCCGGGGAGAATTCCCCACAGCCTTAAGTACCCGCTGGCCAACCCTGATACGCCACGTGGGAACCACCAATAGGTTCAGGTGTGCAGAAGCAAGCCAGATTCTTTGCCTTAGCCATATAAGGAGTTGTTTACCACAGAGAGCACTGGCCATCGGGAAGGCGGAGGACGGAAGCCAGCGCCATCTTCCAGGTGCGGCCTCTCGCAGCTCTCTACAGAAGAAGAAGAAGAAGTAGAGGAAGAAGGAGAAGAAGAAGAAGAGGAGGAGGAGGAGGAGGAAGAAGAAGAAGAAGATGAAGAAGAAGAAGATGAAGAAGAAGAAGAAGAAGAAGAAGAAGAAGAAGAAGAAGAAGAAGAAGAGGAAGAGGAAGAGGAAGAGGGAGAGGAAGAAGAAGAAGAGGAGGAGGAGGAGGAGGAGGAAGAAGAAGAAGAAGAAGAAGAAGAAGAAGAAGAAGAAGAAGAAGAAGAAGAAGAAGAATCCTTCCCTTCTTAACTGTAAAAAAAAAATCACTGTGCTGTATGCCTGTAAACCAGGGCATCCAGCATACCCCCACAGATTGCTACATAAGTGGCCAAAATAAAGCCTTCAACACGTCACTCCATTGGTAGCAAACTTCTCTGACCACTCTCTTCGTTTTCCCCCTTTTATCCACTTGTGAATTAATGACTCATTTCCTTGATTCCCAACATACAGAATCTATCCCATGCTAGCCATTCCTTGGGATGAAGCCTAGCTTTGGGTTTTGTCCTTGTTCTAGGTAGTCCTGTTCTGATAAGGGTTCCTCTCCCTTCCATAACACTAGCTGTTCTGCAAGAGTCCCTGCACAAATTGACTGTGACCAGCATCCCCTGCCCATGTGCTCTAACAAGGTTTTGAAACATCATCAGACAATATTTGATCCACATTAGCCTTGATACCAAAGAAAAGAGCTTGTTTAGGAGTTATAAGAGGCTGCCTTGAAATGCTTCTTTGGATCACTGGAAGCTTCTCACTGAGACCCCACCATCTTTCTTCTCTTTTTTCAGACAGATCAACAGATTTCTGAAGCCTAACATAAAAGCAAAGGGCTCGCTGAAAAACCAGAATTGCCAACATCTCCCTACTCATGCTCAGCCTGCTGCACAGGGCACTGCTGTAGGTAGAGCTTGCAGCTGTCTATTTGGATGCAGACCAGAATGACCTTCAGCTAGCTACACCATGAACCCTCAGCCTGCCAAACGCAAAACCATTGGATTCACTGTGAATAGACTAATGAGACCTAATGAAATTTCAGTCAGACGTTTTCATTGTAATTTTCAGGGATAATGATCAGATGATTACAAAATTAGATATGTGCATACATATATATGGAGGTATTTTTAAAGTATTCTGCACTATTTGGTGCATCGAATAGAAGACTGATTAGATCTGGACCAGGTTTGAAGGAATTCAAATCTAATCATAAATTCCTATTCCAGATTATGGAGTTGGAAATCTAGATGGGAGGGGAAGAGTGTTCAGAAGGACATCATGAAAGCAGAGCCTCTACCTAAAGCAAAATTCCACGCTAAGAAGACCATGTGTTCCTTCCGGGTTGTCTGTCTGTGTTCTTCTCCACTGCAATCTATGATCTGACTACAGGAGGGTCTATTTTAGGATTTCCCACATCCGCTGTGGTTTTGAGTAATGCCTGAGACTCGTTATCTAGCAGCTAAGTAAGACATGAAGGGAGATTGTATTTACCTTTTCCACACTGCTGAGCTCTCTATACCTAACCGGGAACACTTAATCCTGTGCTGAGTTATGATTCATCAGAAGCAATGGGTTTTTTTATTTCTAAAAGTCAGAAATAAAGCTTAACATTTACTAGAACGGCTAGTTTGGGAGATGCGAGCACAAAATACGTGCTTGAAAATTACCAGTGTTGGAAAGGAAAAATAAACCATTTCCATTCCTGGAAGCAAAACCTTCAGATCTTTCTTCTTTGGCTCTTTAACATGTGCCAAAGTAATAACGAGGCCACGACATTTCACTTGATTGTTATCCATCTGGAAAGTCCTTATTTTTGATTTGCAGTAATTTTCAGATTTCAGATTCCCTATTTCAATGAAATTACTTCTGTTGCTTTTCCTTTTCTGTATCTGAATTCATATACAGCTGTAACATAGGGAATTTTATACTATTTCTCTACACCCATACAATGCTCTTTGAGTGTATTTACCCTTCTACCATCTTGGCATAGCCCCCTTCCCTCCTCACCAACTTTTCCAGAAAGTTCATATACTCAAAGACCTCCTTCAAGGTTCATTGCTCACCTAGTTCTTCCAAGATAGTCCCTCAACCAACTGCTCTTCTCTCTTCTTCCTTATGTTCAAAACCAGCCTTTCCTATGTCATTAAGCCATAGTCCAAGCACTACATAACTAATTAGTTGATATAATTATCCTCATTTCTTTGATGTTATCATTTACTTCTTACACTCCCTCCAGAGCAAGCTCTACCTCAGAGAATGATCTTTTATTTATTTGAACTTTAGCCCCCAATGTGGTCACTTGGACTCTATTGCTGAAATATATTCAGATATTGTATTAAAAGCATTTTATATACTTAGATATTCATAAGATACAGACTTTAAAGGTATACAGCTACCTTTAAAGAATAGGACAGAGCACAATAAAAAAAGAATAGGGCAGAAATGTCTACTATTATTATCTGTAGTATGGTTTGGGATTCAATGTCTTCTCATACATTTATGTCAATACTCAGAAAAATATGAGACAGGTATAAGCAAGAATGAACAGGTATAGTCATTCCTGAGAATGTTAGTAGATACCACTTTTACAGTTCACTTAGTGCTCAGCGTTTGCGCTTCAAGAACACATGGCTACCTGGTTAAATAGTGTATCTTCAAAAGCAAGAAGAAGGAAGTGATGTTAAATTCTCACTGCTTTCCTTCCCTGCCACTTTCTAGATGATTGAAATTTAAATCATGATGCTACTACATGATACCAGTGTCTACTTCAAGATATTTGTGTTCAAGTAATCTGGGCATCCATGCTTTTAATGGACAAATGATAATCACTGACAGGCTGTTTGATTTATTGATTTTCCACACTGAGCTGTGCTCATTAGCTACTGTAAGAGCCCCAAATAAGAAGTAACAATCCAATCTCCATACTTCCTTAGACAAATAGGTATTCATTTGGTGTCAACTGAAAGTGCAATATTAAAAGATCTGGTAGGATAAGCAGTAGCCCAGTGATTTACATATATATGAGTTCCTGGATCTTGGGTACTTGTCCCTCTACACAGAGCTCACTCTCTAGAAAAATAGCATTGAACCATCTGTAGAATTCAGTATTCACCATTTCTGAGAGTTAGGAAATGCTAGTTTTTTGGCAAGGGTAGAGTAGAGGCCATTTCTGGTGTTAACTTTCTCCTTACATGATTCACAGCTGGGAACAAAAAGATAAAGGAAGAGAAAGGATGACTTTGGTAATAGATTCCTGATTGACAAATCTACAGTTTTCTACATATGATATAAAATGAGCTATATCTTCCTAGAAGACTATAGGCCTGTTTTCTTATTGCATAAGATGAATCACAATTTAGGATTAGGGACCATTGGTAATTACAAGGAGTTTATTGTTTTAGAGCAAAACATCAGATGATTCCAAAATGGTTCTTTCTGCGGGTAAGACAATTCAAATAAAATAATTAATTCTGAATGGATACAGAATAAAAAATCTACAGAGGAATAACAATAGCATTTCCCATTAAGGAAAAAAGACTCTAGATTTTTGCGTATATTTTATTATAAAGATATTATGCAGAGGAGTTATAGTTACATGAGTAAGGTAATGAGTACGTTTGTTATCGAGCATTATTACAGCTTCCATTTTCTTCTATCAGCCCTTCCCTCCCCAACTCCTCCTTCTCCTCACCAAAGTTGTAAAGTTCGTTTTCAACATAGCAAAAGACCCTAAATTTTATTCCCTTGTCTAAGGACAGTTACTTCTACAAGTCCCTCAAGTATCCAACATTTAATGAATGAAAAAATAAACTAAACCTACTCTCAACTTTGGTTGGTATCATGACCCATTAGCCTGAGCTAGAAGTTTGAGACACCCCTTCATTCTCTCTCCCCCTCCCATTCTATGTCAAATTGCTTACCAAGTGTTATTAGTTTAATTCCCTCATTCCTAGCTCAAGATAGGGCCTTATAACCATTTTTAATGAATTGTCAAACTTGACCCTTTGGCTGATTTTTGAGCTTCCAACAATTTCTGCAAAGTTTTTATTGGAGCAGTCATGTCCATCATTTCCATGTTGCTTAGATCTTTCAAGCTACAATGGCAAAGTTTGAGTTTACAACAATGAACACATATAGCCCTTCAGGTGAAACTACTTCCTCTCCAGTCCTTTACAGGGCAAATTTGCTAGCTCTTATTCTAGGTCATTGGAGGTTATCCTTCCTCCTCCCTCACTTCTACCTCCAAACTCTCACATATACTGCTGATGCAATGGTCTTTCAGAAGTACAACTCCAGAAATATTTCTCCCTATCTTTAAAGCATTTGATGATTTATCACCCAAAGTAAAATCTAAATTGTCAGCCTGACATTCTACTGACCCAATCCAAGATGCTCTCAGACCCCATGTTCTTCTCTCCTTTTGGCA